TCCTTATCTTGGGTTCATTGATAGACTTTGGAGTCTATATCACTATATACTTTAGTGAAGTATAAATAAAACTTCTTGTATATATAAAATTTTCTAGAAAACTTATCAGTGATTTTCATCAGGCTCTCAAAAAAAGTCCAAAAAGTTAAGAATCATTGCTTTATGGTGTTTTCAGTTCTGGTATATATTTTAAAATATATTAAAAAGTAACTAGTTCTCATTCTAGTGTTATACTATTTAGTTATTTTCAACACATCTACCACTAGTTTCATAAAATCCTAAGTTAAATAGCCTTTACTGGGCTAGGTGGGCCCTACTTGAGTTTTATAATAATAATTCCAATATCCAGAGTAGATAAAAGAAACAGATAAACAGCATTGCTAGAGAAATGTTCTCTTAAAACACCTTCTTTCTTTCTTTTTCCTTTTTTTTTGTGTGTGTGTGTGGGGGGGGGGAGCAGGGTAGAGGGAGAGAGGGAGAATGCCAATAGGCTCCATGTTGCATGTGGGGCTTGACCCCACAACCCTGAGATCATGAGCTGAGCTGAAATCAAGAGTCAGACGGTTAACTGACTGAGTACCCAGGTGCTTATAGTTTTTCTATATAGGCATGTATTATCTTACAGAAACCCTTGGGAATTCTAAACTCCTTAGGGTAACATAGAGACAGTTTTGCAAGTTAAGTGCCATTTCCGATAAAGATTTGAGAGCTATGTCATGAAAAAAGATTGATTTTGCAATGCCACTTGAGGACACTTCTCTTCCTTTTGACTTTTGGTTTAGTTTATTCCTTCTTGGTACTGCATTTATATGCCAGGTGAGCCAGGTTGTGACTGGTTTATACAGTTCTTACTTGTAATAAAATACTAAATGGTAGGTAACTCTACTTCTGTTACAGTAAACCCCATATTTGTTCCTACCATTAAGTATCTGGATGCCCTTGTGGAAATAATGTAACTTCTCTGGGCCTGAGGTTCCTTATCTCCAGACATGATGAGAGCATTGGCTTTCATAAGAAGTTATCCGAGGTTTCTTCCAGCTGTGTGATTGTATGGCTTTGTATTTCTAGGAAGGCAGCTATGTTTACCATTCTCAAGTTTATACAACAAACTCCTGAGGAGGAGAGTCACTTTATATTTATACAGGATAATATCTAAGACAACAAGTAAATAAAAGACAAAACATTGATTGAGCAGCTGGGGAGAAGACCTCTCAGGAAAACTATGCTTCATTAGACTCCCTACCCCATGAAAAGACTGATTGGCCAAATTCTAGGAGTCTTTTTGGACTACCTGCCATAGTACACAGAACCATCATATCATACACTAAATGTCACACACACACACACACACACACACACACACACATGCAGCATGAATTCTCTCTCCCTTTTTATACCTACAAGGTTTGCCCTAGCTAGCTCTTCTGTATCATTTTTCCCACCATGCAGAAACAAATGAAAAATGAAACCAATTTCCACTTCTCAGGGACAGGAGTCTTGGCTCTCTTGCCACCTTCTCTCTCCTGGGCACAGAAGTTCCTCCTGTAGAACTATTGTCCTTCTGGTCTGCTTTCTGAAACATGAAAAGTTCCTGGTATTCAGAGGTAGGTCACATCCCCCTACTGAGAGTACCAGAATATGGCATGTGGCAGGAGGAGGAGCGTGTAAAGTTGGAGGTTACAGTATTATATCAGGCAACCCTACCCTAGTTATAGAATAACACATTATAGAGAACATTTCCCTGAGCCAAAAGTATCACTTCCTCATTACAATCAGAATTGAAAATGGGTCCCCCATTCAGACGAAATTATGAGGCTTTCATATCATCCCCAGCCTTAGCCAAGCAATGGTCACTTATAAGCATTATTATTTAATCATATGCAAGTTGTTTTCATTCTGATAGTTGTGATGGACCTGAAGAATATTATCCTCTTTACTCATATACCTAATCTCAATTTAAGTGATGTCCCTAGAGGTTCAAAATCCAGTATATTTCACCCTAGAAATAAATATTGGGCATCTCACTCCAGAAAAGCAATTATTGGAATGTGTCATGCCATACACCATCCAGATCCAAATAAAACTATTGTTCCTCCTTCACATCTATAACCATTTTCTTCAAAATTTAGTATAGAAGTCAATTCTTTCTACTGACTTAGGCTGGACTGCAGCAGTTTTCTGTTCTTATGCAACTTAGTGATCTTTTAAATAGTTGGATATGTTGCTTGCAATCTGAATTCTTATAGCTAAGAATTGAGAGCTTTGCATCTGCTCTTCTCTTTCTTCTATAAAACACACACACACACACCACACATACACACACACTGATGTTAACTGTAAGGGAAAAAAGGAGAGTACACATTCTTCTAAAGTGGCATCAAGGAAAAACGAACTAGGGGTGATGGAAGGGGAGGAGGGCGGGGGGTGGGGGTGAGTGGGTGACAGGCACTGAGGGGGACACTTGACGGGATGAGCACTGGGTGTTATTCTGTATGTTGGTAAATTGAACACCAATAAAAAATTAATTTATTAAAAAAAAGTGGACTCAAGGAAAGATCCTATGTTAGGCCATAAAACAGACCTCAAATTTAAAAGGATTGGAATCATACAAAGTATGTTCTCCAACAACTTTGGAATAAAATTAGAAATCTGTAACAGAAGGAAATTTGGAAAATATAAAACTATCTATATTTTATTTGTACACAATCTTATATATAGAAAATCCTAAGGAATTCACACAATGTGTTATTAGAACTAAGAAAAGAATTCAGCAAAGTTGCAGACTACAAGATCAATATAGAAAAATCAATTATATTTCTATACACTAGCAATGAATAATCTGAAATAGAAATTAAGAAATTAAGAAACCAATTCCATTTATAATACCATTAAAAGGGATATAATACTTAGGAATAAATTTAACAAAAGAGCAAGACCTATACAGTGGAAATTAAAAAGCATTATTAAAAAAAATTAAAGATCTAAATAAATGGAGAGACATCTCACATTTATGAATTGGAAGACTTAATGTTGTTAAGATACCAATAGTTCTCCCCAGAGTGATCTACAGATTCAACACAGTCACCAAAATCCCAACTAGTTTTTTCCTTTTACAGACATTGACAAGCTGATCTTTTTTTATATGTATACATATATATATATATTTAAAGATTTTATTTATGTATTCATTCATGTGAAACACACACAGAGAGAGGCAGAGACACAGGCAGAGGGAGAAGCAGGCTCCATGTAGGGAGCCCGATGCGGGAGTCCATCCTCGGTCTCCAGGATCACGCCCTGGGCTGAAGGCGGTGCTAAACTGCTGAGCCACCTGGGCTGCCCTGTATTTTTATTATTATTATTATTATTATTATTATTATTATTGGATTTCGATTTGCCATCATATAACACCCAGTGCTGATCCCATCAAGTGCCCCCCTCAGTGCCCCTCCAGTCATCCCACCTCCCCTCCAGTACCCCTTGTTTGTTTCCCAGAGTTAGGAGTCTCTTATGTGATCTTAAAATTCATACAAAAATACAAGGAATCCTGTATAGCCAAAACAATCTTGATAAAAGCACAAAGTTGAAGGATTCACACTTTCCATTTTCAAAACTTACTACAAAGCCACACCAATGAAGACAATGTATCAATGGTATAAAGACAGGCACACAGATCAATGGGATAGAATTAAGACAGGCACACAGATCAATGGGATAGAATTAAGAGTCCAGGAAAAAAATCTTCTATTTACGGTCAACTGACTTTCAACAAGGGTCCAATATAGTTCAATGGGAAAAGGATCATCATTTCAACAAAAGGTGTTGGGACCAATGGATATCCATGTGCAAAAAAAATAAACCCCTCCCACACACAATATATAAAAATTAATTCAAAATGGATCATAGCCCTAAATGTAGGACTAAAACTATGAAACTATTACCAATAAAGCATAGAAATAAATCTTCATGACTTTGGAGTAGCAATGTTTTCTCAGATATGATACCAAAAGCACATGTAATAAATAGATAAATTCAACATCCAAATGAAAAACTTGTTTTGTGCTTCAAGGATCACCATTAAGAAAGTGGAAAGATAACCCAAAGAATGGGAGAAAATATTTATAAGTCACATATCTGATAAAGGCCTGGTATCCAAAATATATAAAGAATATTTACAACTCAATAACAAAAAGACAACCTAATTAAGGAATGGGCAGAGGACTTGAATGGACATTTATCCAAAGAAGACAAATAAATGGTCAATAAGCACATCAAAAGATGTTCAACATCGTTAGTCATCAGCAGAGGCAAATCAAAACCACAAGATACCATTTCACACCCACTAGGGTGGCTATAATAAAAAAGATGGGTCATAACAATTATTGGCAAGTATATGAGGAAATTGGAAGCCTTTTACCCCTGCTGGCAAAATATAAAATGGTGTAGACATCTTGAAAAACAGTTTGGCAATTCCTCAAAAGTTAAATATAGTTACCTTACCAATCAGTATTTTCATTCCTAGATGCATAACTGAAGAGAACTTAAAACTTATGTCCACAGAAAAATTTGTACACAAATGTTCAGAGTAGCAGTAATCGTAATAGCTAAAAAGTGGAAGCAACCCAACTGCCCATTAACTAATGATACCATATACCAATGTGATATAGCCACACAGTGGAATGTTACTACCCTATAAAAAGAAATGAATTACTGATACACACAACATAGATGAACATTAGAAATATTAGGCTAAGTTAAAGAAGCCAGACACAAAAGGCTGTATATTACTCCATTTACATGAAATGTCCGGAATAGGCAAGTTCCAGAGAGTGGAGAAGTGGTTTCCAAGGAGGTGAAAATGGTAAGTATATGCTAGTGAGTATGAAGTTTCTTTTTGGGGTGATGAAATATTCTAAAATTAGATCATGATGATGATTGCACAGCTCTAGAAATATACTAAAACCTACCATATTGTACACTTTAAAAGTGTGAATTTGCAGTGGCAGCAAGCATGCCCTGGACACACACAATGATGCTGGCAAGTTTGTGGACATGCACCAGCAACAGAAATGCTCCACCAGCAACCGCAACATGGGCGCCAGGGGCTATGTGTCCATTCAGATAAAGGTGGCTGAGGCTGACCAGGTGACAGGCAGGTTTCACCAACAGTTTAAAACCTACACTGTGTGTGGGGCCCTTTGCAGGATGGGTGAATCAGATGACTCCATCCTCCTACTGGCCAAGGCAGATGGCATCCTTTCAAAGAACTTCTGACTGGAGAGGACCAGGATGTGGAATATCTGTCATAACTAAATAGCAAAAACCCAAAGAGAATAGAATGAAAAAGTGTGAATTTTATGTGACATGACTTGTATCTCAATAAAGCTGTTATTTTTATTCAATCCAATGTTTTATGCAGATAATAAATACTATGTATTTATTAATTTAACAATATATCTATTAATAAACGCATAGTATCTATTAATGAGTAAATTAATAAATATTAATAAATACTATGTGTTTATTAATTCAGTACTCATTGAACAAATCCTTGCGGGAATAGAACTAAAATAAATTCAGAACTGATTGTTTACTGGGCACTGTGTATTAAGCACTGTCATGCATGTGATCCAAAAAGATAGAACCGAAGAAAGAGCCTTTGAATCTTAAGACTGAACAACAGTGACCTTTAAAAAGCAGTTTCATTAGAGAGGTGAACTAGAATTGGAAGGATTACAGTGGAAAAGTGAAAGTAATGAGTGTGGGCTCCTTTTTCAAGTCTAGCAGCAAAAGAACAGATGAGATAGCTTAAGGAAGAGGCAGGGTAAAAAAATTATAGTAACTTATTTTTCTGATTATTTAATATGGGCCCAATGTAGACAGTTTGGAAGAACAGAGAAGTATAGCAAAAAAATTAAATGGTTTATGATCTTTAAATAAAAACAAACTACAAGTCTACATTTTCTGCATAAATTCATATCAAAGAAATCTGGATACTAAATTATTCAAAAGCTATTATACAATTTAGATTTCTAAGCCATCAAAGTATATTTCTATTAAAGAAAGAAGGAAAGGACAAAAAGTGACTTTTCTTTTGTGGTAGATGTTGAATTTGAAGGAAAAACATGGGAGTGATGGAAGCCACTTGGTACTGCTTAGAGGTTATTTTCCTAGTTGATAACAATAAGCTTTTGTTGACAGAAGTAGATCTCACCACAAGAAAAAAAAGTTTGTAACTATGTGTGGTGATAGGTGTTAACCAGACTTCTGTGGTGATCAGTTTGCAATATATACATACATTGAATCACTATGTTGTACACCTGAAATTAGCACAATGTTGTATTTCAATTATGTCTCAATTTTAAAAATAATGAGATTAAAAATATGTATAGGATCAGACCTCCAAAAAATTTCATTCCCACATAATAATAAAAATTACAGACTTCAGGGGAGCCTGGGTGGTGCAGGCTGTGATTGATCTCAAGATCCAGAGATGGACCCTAGCCGCGGTAGGATCCATGCTCAGTGGGGAGTCTGCTTAAGACTTTCTTTCCCTCTCTCTCTGTCCCCCCCACCCCGCAACTTCCTATCTCTCTCAAAATAAATAAAAGCTTTTTTAAAAATTACAGACTTCATTTGTATATTAGGCTTCTCCTCCCCACATCTGGCTCAGATCTGCAGCACCCAGGGCAGCCTGCAGTCAGAGAAGCCAGAAGTCAGGGAAGGGAGTATGAATCACTCCTTCTCTTCCCTTCCATTACCCTTCTGGGGCTCCTCCCACCGTTTTATAGCTCTCCAAGGCTGGAGTGCAGAGAGGAAGGAGAAGAAAGCAGGCAGGAAAATTCTCACTTAAATGACGCTGAGGCTGGCTGCTACTGGCTCCATTTAGACTTGGCAGATTGTAAATCTGATTTTCCTTTCCTAGAAGGTATTGAGGTTATTTTGCAAATCCTGCCACCACCACTGCCACTACTCCTGCTGGGTATCTCAAATCCATCTCTATTCCAGCTAGTCATTTGTGATTTCTTCCATACCCTGAGGTACCACTTTTGGCCTTCTGTTCCTGAGGCTTCCACTTGGACTGAAACTGAGACCATCCCAAGCTGACTTTCTCCACGTTATACACCTAGATCTGGTCCTTGGGAAACGTCACAAACTGTTGGCACTGTGACAGACTCTAAAAGGGCAGCTAGTTCCCAAACTATAACCATTGACCACTTCCTCTAAGCTCTCATTGTTTAGATTTTTCAGGGATATTTCTGACACAAGCCTTGTGTGTCCCCCGAACTCTGGGAAACACATAATAAGTTATGTGTTTAAGCTCTTTAAGTTATTTTCTAAGTTCCTCTCTCCTGCCTTCAGCTGCAAGGGAAGCACCCTCACCCTTTTCCCACCATGTATGGTGTCAGCACACCTACAAATTTACATAAAATTATATGTACACATAGCTAAATTTTTAAGTAAAAAAAATAAATAAAACAAGACAGTTAAAGAGCCAAGCATAGTCCCAGGAAGATAGTAAGCATGAATGAATGTTAGCTAAGTATTAGCTTCTCTGAAAGGTCATCTATATAATTGTTAAGAAATGGAAAAAAAGAGTCATCTTTTAAAGAGCTGGCTAACTACATGCCAGGAAACAAATTCCCTTTATGAAAATATAGTTAGAGGGGTGCATGGGTGGCTCAGTCAGTTAAACATCTGCCTTTGGCTCAGGTCTTGTTCTCTGGGTCCCGGGATGGAGCAATGGATCAGACTCTGCTTCTCCCTCTCCCTCCCCTCTTCCCTCCCCCTGCTCATACTTTCTCTCTCTTTCCCTCTCTCTCTAATAAGCAAAATCTTTAAAAAATAAAATATAATTAGAAATATTAAGGACTCTGCCTTGTGACTTATACTTTTACAAATAAGATGGTATGGCATAGTTAAGTGAGATCAAGACACCTGCAGAGGCAAAGAAAGTTTTGCCAATACATGACACTATAAAAGAAAAATTAGACATATGTAGCACAACATGCTGAAAATGGTTAGGATTAAAAAGTAATAATAAAAAACAGGGTGGCTGGGATCCCTGGGTGGCGCAGTCGTTTGGCGCCTGCCTTTGGCCCAGGGCGCGATCCTGGAGACCCGGGATCGAATCCCACATCGGGCTCCCGGTGCTTGGAGCCTGCTTCTCCCTCTGCCTATGTCTCTGCCTCTCTCTCTTTCTCTCTCTGTGACTATCATAAATAAATAAAAAAAAATAAAAAAAATCTTTAAAAAAAAAATAAATAAAAATAAATAAATAAAAAACAGGGTGGTACAGTCAATAGAACAATTTTGGTGCCATCATCTAAATACTTTTCTGTAAACGAGGTGGAATATAAATGAAATAAATTACAATAGCTCTAATTGTGGCTTGCAGATCACACAATCAACATGGCAGAAACAATTTGTGGGGCATTGCTGAAGTGATCAGTTTGCCATGTTCTTGTTACTTGGGGCATCCAGACCTAACCAGAGATACTAACATACTCTGTATTCATGCCTTCATTCAAAAGATATGCACCTATTATGCATAAAGTATCTTCCTTACAGCCTGTGATGGATATAAACAACTATGACACAGTAATTGCCTTAAGGCATGAACAGTCTAGTTGGAGAAGATAAACAAAGCATGCTGTCTTTCAATTTAGAAATTTTGCGAAGAACTTAGCTAGCTCGGTAGAGTGTTAGGTACTTACTATTAGAAGAAACATTTGCTATTACTGTCAGATTCTATATATTTTCAAATTTGAGGTATCTATTTTCAAGTTTGTGACTGTTAGGGTAGATAAAAAATGCATATGGTAAAAAAAAGGATTAAAATGATGTATTTAAATATCACATATGCATTTCTTACATACCACAACACAAGAAATGCTCTAATTTTATTTCTTTCTTTAAGATGTATTTATTTGGAGGGGGTGCAGACAGAGAGAGAATACCAAGCAGACTCTGCACTCAATGCTGAGCTCAATGTGGAGCTCAATCTCACAATTCTAAGATAATGACCCCAAGATCATGACCCAAGCCAAAACCAAGAGTTGGATGCTTAATTGACTGTGCCACCCAGAGACCCCAGAATGCCCTAATTTTCAAAGACACTAGTTTTTATTTCATTAGCCTATTATTGCATTTCTTTCTCTGATTTAATTCAATCCCCATGGCATGCAACATGCAGAACTTCATAGGTATATTTCAGGCCAACATAACACTTGGCCAGATGTCATTCTCTGTTCTCTTTACAGAATTTCTGCAGAGTTTCCTCTAAATGTTTTTTTTTCTATAATATAATCTATATTCCTTTTTTGTTTCTTCCATTTCTTTTTTTTAAACTCAAATCACATAACCCAATAGAGATCTAAAAATCCTTATTTCAGCATCTTCTAATCTGCTACTGAATTCTTCCCAGACCCATGATTTAACATCTGTGTTCAATATTCTAATCTACCAAAAAAGATTGGAGCTCAGCTTTACTTGCTTCTTTCAACCTGGTAGAGCAAGACAAAAAAAAGGCGGGGGGTGGGGTGGGGGGAAGCAGAATAATTGAACTCATCAGCTTCCTGATTTGAGATCTTTATAATATTAACTTTATTATTTTGACTTGAAATCCCTAGACATTGGACCACCCATATTCAAATTTAGGAGCAAAAGCATCCCAAAGACAAATATAAATTACTTTTGGAGTACTCAACCTCTGCTTTTCCTGATACAGACAATTGAGTTGACAATATATTTTATACAGTGAAAAGTGATACCTTTGGCTAGCAATTAGCCTTTTATATAACTTCGTGATATTGTATCCCAAAGAGATAGAATAGAGATTTGTTAATAACCCTTTTAAATGTTACATTTAAAATAACTTTAAAAACTGGGTCATAATGAGTGATTCTTGAAAAATCCCCAGCTAATTTTAATGCCCTAGCTTTAAATAATGGTGAAACACAATGGCTTCATCTTGAAAATTTGACAACCAAATTGATACTAATTAAAGAAATGTGTGCAATTTTCTTAGGGCTCTAAAACAAAATGGAATTTGAAACTCAGTAATAAACTAGAATGACTGTCAGGAAATTAGATAATTAAAAGATTTTAAAAGAAGCACACATGTAATACAGTAGAGAATAGGTAGCTCTACAAGGTAAAATATGGAATGCAATTTATGTGATTCTTTTAAAAAGATAATAAATGAGTGCATTTATCAGTGCTGACACTTGGATAAGCTTGACCCTGAGGTATAACTGGGGCCTGAATTCAGG